TTATATTTATATTTATATTTATAAATATATAACACATCGGGTCGAATCTTCTCGGATTAGATAGGGGTGATCCAAATTCGACCAAATAGGATCGGATCTCATATCGGATCGGGTTATGATCTGATCCATTTGCACCCCTAAATTTTGGCCTGAAAATGATTGATAAGTAGGGGTTTTAGATGAGATTTTATCACAAGTTGTCTGCCTTCGAACAAAATGATGATCAGACGCTACTCAATTGGAGACGTGAAAACTAGGAGTAGGGAGGCCAAAGTAGAGAATCTTCTTTGTCATTTCATCGCTACAACGTGAGAAAGCGATGATAGTCATTTAGTCAGTTTTAGATATGGATTTCTATTATAGTGATTCTCCTTTACTTATTCTTCAGAGAGAGAGAGAGAGAGAGAGAGATTGAGAGAAAGGTCTGCAAGAAGACTGTCGTTGCCAAAAGTTGCAACGACAATGGTTAGTTAACCAAAGTGGCCATGAAAAACAGGGGAAGGGAGTAGGGAAGAAAGAGGGAATGAGAGAGAATGACTGAATGAGAGGAATCGATAAAAAAGAGGGAAGAGAGAGAGAGAGAGAGAGAGAGAGAGGGAGAGATGTGGAGGGGGTTGCCGTTGTCGAGAGGTAGAAGATGAATATTGTTTAGAGAGATATTGAATGGAGGGAGACGAAGAACAGTGGCATGAAGGAGGTGAAGTTAAGAAAGGACAAGTTGGTCCAAAAAAGTTAATTTTTGTCTTGTTCAATGTTTTTGCAATATTTTTGGAAACATATCTGATTTTGCCGATTCATCAAACTTTAAAACAAGGAAGTCTAGAAATTTTCTCCTTTTTTAAATTTTTTTAATCCATGTCATTTTTTGAAACTATCAATTAGAAACTCTACTTTTCCCAAAAAAATCTTCCTAAAATCTCTCTCTCTCTCTCCCACATGTTCTAATAACCTAAACAAGGGAAGTTGTCAAAAACTCACCATGAGTTTTCAGCATTTCTCTTAAACTCACCATGTCAGTAAGTTTTTATTTTCCAAAACTCACCTTCCATTAGTGCACCGTTAATATTTCTTAACAGAGGTGTCCATGTCAGCATAAATAACAATTTTTATGACCAAATCACCCTTAAATGGCGAGTTAGAGGAAAATGGTCTTTTTCATTTTTCAATTTTTTTTACATTTTTAGTATTTTGTTATAATTTATGCTTTTTTTTTACATTTTTCTATTTTCTACCATCTATAAAATTTCCTGTAATTTTGTTATTTATTTGCAATTTCTATGTTTTTCTATAATTTTGGTCTACAACTTTTATTTTTCTGATTTTGTTTTTCAATTTCTATAGTTTCTATAATTTCAAAATAATTTTTATTTTGTGTGCAATTTCTATAATTTTTTTATATTTTTTATATTTTTTATATTTTTTGTAATTTCTATGTTTTTATGTATTTTATATTTGAAAATATTTTTTGAACTTTTTCTTTTTTTTTATGTTTAAATATTAAAATATATGTATATATTTTATATTTTTCTATGAAGGTTAAAATGGTAATATATTAACAGTCGTTAGTCTCTTTAATGTCAATAATGACATGTTGAGTTTTAGACATTTTAAAATGCTATGGTGAATTTAAGAGAAATGCTGAAAACTCATGGTGAATTTTTGACAATTTCCCTCTAAACAATCTAATATCCTAAAATTTCTCCTAAACAACCTCCCCCACTATCCCTAACTTTCTCCTAAGTTATCTTTAATTTAGTAGAGAGTTTCTCTCCTAAATTATATCTAATTCTTATTTATCTTCTCCCCCACTTTTTATCTACATCTATCTAAAGAAAGTTTGAATTAAAAAATTTAAGAATTATTTAAATATTCTAACAAAATTATATAATAACTTTAAAATATTTATTAAAAATATAAAAAATAATTATAATCAATTTAATAATATTCATATCATTAATAATT